CCTGTAGTACACTTTAAGAAAGATAATGCATTACATACAATACATTTTAAGAAAGAAAATAAAAAAAATTACCTGCAATAGACCTTAAGAAAGAATATATAAAAAAACATTGAATGTATTACACATTAAGAAATAAAGTAAAAACATTGCCTGCAATACACTTTGAAAATAAAATAAAAATCATTAATTGCAATAGACTTTAAAAAAGAAAATAAAAAACATTACCTGTAATACACTCTAAGAAAGAAAATAAAAATACATTACCTGTAATACACCTTAAGAAAGAAAATAAAAAAAACATTAGCACTTTAGGAATACACTTTACAATACACTTTCAGAAATATAATAAAAAAACATTGACTGTAATACCCTGTAAGAAAGAAAATAAAAAACATTACCTGCAATAGACTTTCATGAAATAAAATAAAAGAAAACATTACCTGTGATACACTTTTAGAAAGAAAATAAAATCATTATGACAATACACTTTAAGAAAGAAATGAAAAAGTACTTGTAGCAATACATTTTATGAAAGAATAGAAAAAATATATTACCTTTAAAAAATAAGAAAATAGAAACTACTATACATTTTGCAAATGAAAAATTTCCCTGCAATATATTTTGAAGAAAAAATTACGATCAATGTAAAATAAATTATTAATTTTACCCAAAAATTAAATTTCGTAGTTAAATGACCTCTAAAGCAGTTGACATGCCGTTAAAAGAAACAAAAATACAAACAACCAAAATGAATTTATAAATGAAAATGCTTCTAATACAATCAATTAAATAGAAAATTATGGAAATATTTATGGATATACAATTTCCGTTATATGAATTATATTAAAACATTCTATTTGCCACGCTTTATTTTTTTGCTTTCAGGGGGTTGGTGATCAAGTCTCTTACCAACTTCCTGAATTTTGTTGATCTAATTCGTGTCTATTTGCCATTCTCTGGGTTTATGTCATTCACTTATGGCCAGATTGAAATGGCACTAAGTTAAACTGATGGTATCTACTATTTGAAATTTAGTTTTTGGATGCCATAAGTTTTTCTTTTCAAAGCAGTAAAAATCCTGATAAAGAAATTATTTTTTTTTACTTGATTAGGTTTCTGTAGATAGCGTCGTATTGGTATTTTCGCTGATCTTTCTCAGCCCATTTCGACAGATTGAAGGCTGTCTTACAGCAGCCAAATGGATTCCAACTCGAGGTTGAATACAGGAAGATCTTGGCGATCATCTCTCATCTGATGCTCGCTCGTGATTATCGATCGAAGAAAAAAAATATTGAAGTTGATCACAGAAATCTTTTAACATTTTTTTTTTCCTTTCTGAAAGAATTTCATTATTTTTTTGGTTCAATATTCGAATGGTATGTTTCTTTTTCAGCGATCGAAAAGCTAAAATGACAAAGAAAGCTTTAAAAGTATAAATGAAGCAAAAAAAAAGAAGCAATTTAGATGAGTTATCGCCATTTTTCCCCAAGAATGTCAGTGGTGTCCTCAATCGATTTTGCAAAGGATCATCTCGAAATGTTAAATTGGAGCACACACCCAGTGTAAGATTAATAAAACTAAGTCATTCTAGCGACGAAACAGACTTTTTAAATATATATATATATATATATATATATATATATTAATAAAGAATATAGCTCTACTATTCTATTGAGCCCACTTTTAAATTAATGTTACAAACGTCGGAATTTATATTCGATTCGTTCTCATTTCATATGTATATATATATATATATATATATATATATATATATATATATATGATTTGTTCTCTTATCATATGGGTATATATATATATATATTTGTTCTCATTTCATATATATATATATACACAAACACACGCAGGGTGCGATGGATAAATTGTCGTCTAAACCACGCAAGAATGAAAATAACATTGACATCACATTTTAACCGGTAATATTTATCAAAATTACACAAAAACATCTTGAAATACTATAGAGTAAATCTTTTTTCAATGAAATCGCCATTGGTTCCTCCAAAGTCTTCACACAAGTTCGGAATCTCTGCATCTCTTCTGGAGGCTGTCCTTTTTTAACTTCATTAATGTTGTCATAATTCTTGCCTTTAGTTCCTCTTTGGTGTTACAAAGAGTTTTGTTGGTATCTCGCAAGGGGTGATGTGGTTGCAGAAATTTCTGATAGCCGTGTTTGGGTTCTCCTGCTTGTGGGGCATGGTGCATAGTCTTTTTGCCACATATAAGATTTTATAGCAGCCATCCTCTTGATCCAAGGCAGCATTAACTCCTCAAATCACATGATGTAGTCCTCCACGATGAGTCTGATGTCTCATTCGTGGGGATGTATCGGCCTGTCAAGATACACCATGAAAGAAACCCGGAAAATGGCCAAAACTAGAGAAAAATTAAATTAAATTAAATTTAAAAAAATTTTGAACTAAAGATTCTCGTCGCTCAACGACAAAATCAGCTTAAATTAAAATGCTATATATATATATATATATATATATATATATATATATATATATATATATATATATATATATATATATATATATATATATATATATATATATCTTCATTCAAGCATGTTTGGTTGAATAATCTAAAGATATTATGTCTAATTATTTTTGTTTAATCTCAAATTCACGGCTAAATTTCTTAATGTTGTTGTTAAACTCATTAAGGAAGGCGCCATAAATTTGAGAGGATTAAATAAAAACAAATAGAGGTGTATCTAGACAATTCAACCAAACATGCTTGAATATATATATACTCTGTAATGAATACCGGCTCGGATTCATGAATCAGAGAGCCGAGTTCAAATTCAAGTCGCGCACATTGCATTCATTTACGTACTAATACCTTTGGGAAAAGTATGAATCCTCTTCTTCTACCCGCCAGGTATGGTTAAATATCAGAACAGACAGGGTTCTATAACATTGGGTTCCAACCCGTCTAGGATAACTGGATTTAAAATCTACGGAGTTTTGTTTGGGGACCTTGTGGCACATTGTGCCCCATTTCCCTGTATTCGGCTGTTCCAAAAAGTGTGGTTGGTTCAGCACGAAGCCTTCACCATTATAATCAAATGATTTCTGCAGGTAGTCTGGCTGTCAGTTTCCGGGAAGTGTGTTGCTTGAATCTCATACGTCGAAAACGACAGGAGAGTATCAATTATTATATATATATATATATATATATATATATATATATATATATATATAATGATACATGTTTCATTAAATAATAGAGAAGTTTCCTTTCATAGTGTCTGATAAGCTTAATAACATTATCATTAAAAGATGAAAAAGAATCAACATATTGATACATGTTTTTTAATTCTATCTAAGCTTTCAAATTACGCAAGCCATTATCAAGATGACAATAAAATTTCACTATATTAAATAATACTCGGACAAAACAATAATGATAGTCTTGTTTTGGCTGCATGAAAGATTTCAACAACGACAAACTCTTCGTGTATACGAGACACGGAAGAAAATCGGCACCGCAGTTCTTGACTTACACATGACCACGCGAGAGTGAAAACGAGGAAGTATTAGTATAGGGGCTGTTGGTATAAACCAATGGCTTCTGTTATTATCAGTTATAGATATTTAAGAATATTTGTGGAGATTGCATAGTTCATTTTGTGGGTTATATATATATATATATATATATATATATATATATATATATATATATATATATATATATGTATGTCTCTCTCTCTGTGTGTGTGTGTGTGTGTAATTATGAATTCAATCTTTACTAAAAACTGATATTCGTCAAAAAGAACAATGATGTTAAGGAGTGCTCACTCAACACAATTTTCATAAAAACCAAAATGTTGGGTAAATTAATATGCAACCGTGATTTCTTATCTTGCTAAGATTGTGGGGACTGATAGGAGTCCTTATTTCTTTCAGATTCCCTCTAATATAAGGTGAATAAGTCCGCCGAGAAGATATTCATTGCCTTTCTATTTTGTATATCTTTTAAATTCGTTTTCTATCCGTATGCAGTATGGTGTGCTCCCAGGATACGTTCTGAATTAATTTAATATCCTTCCCAAATATATCATAACATAAATTTTCCAAAAAGTTCTTTAGAGCGTAGTTTCATCAAACTTTTCTTTTTTCATTTTGATGTTAAAGAAATAAGAAATATATTTTGTAAAACCATTTTGGGATTAAAGTAATTATTTAAATAGTTCTAGAATGTTCTTTTATGCGTAATGATTCTTCAGGGATGACTGATTATGGTCAACCTCAAATTTTTTTTTTATTCCTCTGTGCTTTGAGGCTTTATCAACCTTTTCTTTGTTCATGTACTGCTCTCTCTTCACACATGATCGTTTAGTTTCTTTTAATCATTTTCACTGAATAAAGGTAATAAAGCCACTAAGACACAAGGGGTGTACTATGAATGAAAGAATAAGAAAGGAGAAATCATTATTAATGAGAGAAGGCAATAATCAACAGGAATTAAATCGACTAACGGTAACGATTTGTATTTGCATCTAAATTTTTGATGATCAAAAGTCGTTTTGAAATCAAAATGCCGGAAGAGATTTCAGCCATGATTGCGATAGAAGAAATGTTTAGCATAGAACTGCTGCTTATATTTAGCAATTTCACCTGTGTGTGACGTCGCCCCCTGGTCTTCCATGTCGCGTCGACTCTGTCGTTCGATCTAGTTCATGGCACTAGTTGTGACGTCACGTGCTCCAGGCTCTGATATCCTGGTCACGGACAGCACCAGTTGTGACGTCTTCGTTGCGGCGTCAGCCGTCTGCTCCTCGCCGCTTCAAGTGTGGGGACGTTCTAACCCTCGGTTAGATGAATACCATTCTCGCTGTTCCTAACTCGCTCTCCAACGCCTGGTTGGTAACTGCACTGATCTCCGGTCTGCCTCCCACGTTGTGATTAGATCTTCTTTTCTTACGCTTTCATTATGATTCCTCTTATTTTTAACACCATGTTCTTCTTTCTACTCAGCAACATTTTCTTACTATGTTTCTTCCTTACTACTCAGCACTGTCTTTTCTTACCTTTCATTATAATTTCCTCGTATTTTTCTTACCAGATTCCTTCACTTACTACTCGGCTGACATTTTCTTTACTATGTTTTCTTCCCTTACTACTCATGCATACTTTTCTTACCTTCATGTAATTCCTCTTATTTTTCTTACCATGTTTTCCTTTACTACTCAGCTTGACATTTTTCTTACTATGTTTCTTCCTTACTACTCAGCTGTCTTTTTTCTTACCTTCATTATAATTTTCCCCTCTTATTTTCTTACCATATTTTCTTCCTTACTACTCAGACATTTTCTGACATTTCTTACTATGTTTTCATTTCCTTACCATGTTTCTTTCCAGCTGTCTTTTTTTCTTACCTTCATTATATTTCCCTCTTATTTTTTTACCATGTTTCTTCCTTTCTACTCAGCTGACATTTTCTTACTATGTTTCTTCCTTACTACTCTCAGTTGTCTTTTTCTTACGCTTCATTATTATTACTATTTTCTTTCCTATGTTATTTTACTTCTGACATTTTCATTATGTTTCTTCCCTTACTACTCAGCTTGTCTTTTTTCTTTACGTTTCTTCCTTACTTCCTCAGCTGTCTTTTCTTACCATGCTTCATTACTACTCAGCTTCTTTTCTTACTATGTTTCTTCCTTCTTTTTATTTTTTTTCTTATGTTTTTCTTTACTTACTACTCAGCTGTCTTTTTTCTTTCTTCCTTACTACCAGCTTACATTTTTCATATTTTTCCTTTTACTCAGCCACTTTTTTCCTTACGCTTCATTAGAGTAATTCCCTCTTATTTTCTTACTATGTTTTTCTTCCTTACTACTCAGCTGTCTTTTTCTTACTATGTTTCTTCCATTCCTCTTTATTTTCTGTTTATATTCCCTCTGTGTCTTTTTCTTTCCATGTTTTTCATTTTCCTTACTTGTTCCTTCAGGTACGCATTTTCTTTTATGTTTCTTCCTTATTTTCTGTCTTTTTCTTACCTTCATTATGATTTCCTCTTATTTTCTTACCATGATTTTCTTCCTTACTACTCAGCTGTTTTTTCTTACTATGTTTCTTCCTTACTACTCAGCTGTCTTTTTCTTACGCTTCATTATAATTTCTCGTATTTTCTTACCATATTTCTTCCTTACTACTCAGCTGACATTTTCTTACTATACCCTTCCTTACTACTCAGCTGTCTTTTTTTACTTACCATTTAATTTCCTCGTATTTTCTTACCACGTTTCTTCCTTACTACTCAGCTGACATTTTCTTACTATATTTTCTTCCTTACTACTCAGCTGTCTTTTTCTTACGCTTCATTATAATTTCCTCGTATTTTCTTACCATGTTCCTTCCTTACTACTCAGCTGACATTTTCTTACTATGTTCCTTCCTTACTACTCAGCTGTCTTTTCTTACGCTTCATTATAATTTCCTCTTATTTTCTTACCATGTTCCTTCCTTACTACTCAGCTGTCTTTTTCTTACTATCTTATTTTTCTTCCATATTTTCCTTACTCAGCTGTCTTTTTCTTACCCCTTCATTATTATTTTCTTACCTGTCTTTTTTCTTACCATACCCTTCATTTCCTTCCTTACTCTCAGCTGACATTTTCTTACTATGTTTCTTCCTTACTACTCAGCTGTCTTTTTTTCTTTCCCCTTTCATTATGATTCCTCTTATTTTCTTACCATGTTCCTTTCCTTACTACTCAGCTGTCTTTTTCTTCTTACTATGTTTAATTCCCTTATTTTCTTACTAGCTTTCTTTCTTACCTTCATTATATATGTTTTCCTGTCTTTTTTCTTTCCATGTTCCTTCCTCTTATTTTTCCAGCTGACATTTTCTTACTATGTTTCTTCCTTACTACTCAGCTGTCTTTTTCTTACGCTTCATTATAATTTCCTTATTTTCTTACCATGTTTCCTTCCTTACTACTCAGCTGACATTTTTCTTATGTTTCTTCCTTACTACTCAGCTTGTCTTTTTTCTTACGCTTCATTATGATTTCCTTGTATTTTTCTTACCATGTTCCTTTTACTACTCAGCTTTCATTTTCTTACTATGTTTTCTTCCTTACTAATAAGCATCTTTTTTTCTTATTATATAATTTCCTCGTATTTTTCTTACCATGTTCCTTCCTTACTACTCAGCTGACATTTTTTTACTATGTTTCTTTCCTTTACCTCAGCTGTCTTTTCTTACGCTTCATTATGATTCCCTCTTTTATTTTCTTACCATGTTCTTCCTTACTACTCAGCTGACATTTTTCTTACTATGTTTCTTCCTTACTACTCAGTCTTTTTCTTTTTTCTTACGTATTTTCTTCATTATAATTTCCTCGTATTTTTTGTTCCTTCCTCATTACTACTTTTCTTAGCTCATTGGACATTTTCTTACTATGTTTCTTCCTTACTACTCAGCTGTCTTTTTCTTTTTCTTCATTATGATTTCCTCTTATTTTTCTTACTACTCATGTTTTCCTTCCTTACTTTACTGACATTTTCTTACTATATTTTCTTCCTTTACTACTCAGCTGTCTTTTTCTTACGCTTCATTATAATTTCCCTCTTATTTTCTTACCATGTTCCTTCCTTACTACTCAGCTGTCATTTTCTTTTTGTTTCTTCCTTCTTATCAGCTGTCTTTTTTCATGTTTCCTCGTATTTTCTTCATTATGATTCCTCGTATTTTCTTACCATGTTTCCTTCCTTACTACTCAGCTGACATTTTCTTACTATGTTTCTTCCTTACTACTCATCTCAACTGTCTTTTCTTACCTTCATTATAATTCCCTCTTATTTTTCTTACCATGTTCCTTCCTTCCTTACTACTCAGCTTGACATTTTCTTACTATATTTCTTCCTTACTACTCAGCTGTCTTTTTCTTACCTTCATTATAATTTCCTCTTATTTTCTTACCATGTTCCTTCCTTACTACTCAGCTGACATTTTTCTTACTATGTTTCTTCCCTTACTACTCAGCTGTCTTTTTTCTTACGCTTCATTATGATTCCCTCTTATTTTCTTACCATGTTCCTTCCTTACTACTCAGCTTGACATTTCTTACATTATGTTTCTTCCTTTTACTCAGCTGTCTTTTTCTTCTTCATTTAATTCCCTCTTATTTTTCTTACCATGTTCCTTCTTACTACTAGCTGACATTTTCTTTACTATGTTTCTTCCTTACTACTCAGCTGTCTTTTCTTACGCTTCATTATGATTTCTGTATTTTCTTACCATGTTCCTTCCTTTACTGATTCCAGCTTATTTTCTTACTATATTTCTTCCTTACTACTCAGCTGTCTTTTTTCTTATTCCTTCATTATAATTCCTCTGTATTTTCTTACCATATTTTCCTTCCTTACTACTCAGCTGACATTTTTACTATGTTTCTTCCTTACTACTCATTTTTTCTGTCTTTTTCTTACGCTTCATTATAATTCCCTCTTATTTTCTTACCATGTTCCTTCCTTACTAGCTGACATTTTTTACTATGTTTTCTTCCTTACTACTCAGCTGTCTTTTTTCTTACGCTTTTATGATTCCTCTTATTTTCTTACCATATTTCTTCCTTACTACTCAGCTGACATTTTCTTACTATGTTTTCTTCCTTACTACTCAGCTGTCTTTTTTCTTACGCTTCATTATAATTTCCTCTTATTTTCTTACCATATTCCTTCCTTACTACTCAGCTGACATTATTTAAGGTTTACTACTCAGCTTTCTTTTTCCTTTGTCTTTTTTTCTTACGCTTCATTATAATTTCCTCGTATTTTCTTACCATGTTCCTTCCTTACTACTCAGCTGACATTTTCTTACTATGTTTCTTCCTTACTACTCAGCTGTCTTTTTTACCTTCATTTATTTCCTCTTATTTTCTTACCATGTTTCTTCCTTACTACTCAGCTGACATTTTCTTACTATGTTTCTTCCTTACTACTCAGCTGTCTTTTTCTTACCTTCATTATATTTCCTCGTATTTTTCTTACCATGTTTTTCCTTACTACTCAGCTGTCATTTTCTTACTATGTTTCTTCCTTACTACTCAGCTGTCTTTTTCTTACGCTTCATTATGATTTCCTCGTATTTTCTTACCATGTTCCTTCCTTACTACTCACCTGACATTTTCTTACTATGTTTCTTCCTTACTACTCAGCTGTCTTTTTCTTACGCTTCATTATAATTTCCTCGTATTTTCTTACCATGTTCCTTCCTTACTACTCAGTTGTCATTTTCTTACCATGTTTCTTCCTTACTACTCAGCTGTCTTTTTCTTACACTTCATTATAATTCCCTCTTATTTTTCTTACCATATTTTCTTCCTTACTACTCAGCTGACATTTTCTTACTATGTTTCTTCCTTACTACTCAGCTGTCTTTTTCTTACGCTTCATTATGATTCCCTCTTATTTTCTTACCATGTTCCTTCCTTACTACTCAGCTGACATTTTCTTACTATGTTTCTTCCTTACTACTCAGCTGTCTTTTTCTTACGCTTCATTATAATTTCCTCGTATTTTCTTACCATGTTCCTTCCTTACTACTCAGCTGACATTTTCTTACTATGTTTCTTCCTTACTACTCAGCTGTCTTTTTCTTACGCTTCATTATAATTTCCTCGTATTTTCTTACCATGTTCCTTCCTTACTACTCAGTTGTCATTTTCTTACCATTTTCTTCCTTACTACTCAGCTGTCTTTTCTTACGCTTCATTATAATTTCCTCGTATTTTCTTACCATATATTTCTGACATTTTCTTACATTTCTTCCAGCTGAGCTGTCTTTTTCTTACTTCATTTTTCTTATTTTCCTTTACTCAGCTGTCTTTTTCTTCCCTTCATTATGATTCCTCTTATTTTTCTTACCATGTTCCTTCCTTACTACTCAGCTGACATTTTTCTTACCATGTTTCTTCCTTATTTTCTTACTATGTTTTCTTCCAGCTGTCTTTTCTTACGCTTCATTATAATTTTTCTTATTTTTCTTACCATGTTTCTTCCTTACTACTCATTGACATTTTCTTACTATGTTTCTTCCTTACTACTCACCTGTTTCTTTTTCTACCTTTTCATTATAATTTCCTCGTATTTTTCTTACCATGTTCCTTCCTTACTACTCAGCTGACATTTTATTTTACTATGTTTCTTCCTTACTACTCAGCTGTCTTTTTTTTTCTTCCTTCATTATAATTTCTCTTATTTTCTTACCATATTTCCTTCCTTACTACTCAGCTGACATTTTCTTACTATGTTTCTTCCTTACTACTCAGCTGTCTTTTTCTTACGCCTTCATTATAATTTTCCTCGTATTTTTACCATATTTCCTTCCTTACTACTCAGTTGACATTTTCTTACATTTCTTCCTTACTACTCAGCTGTCTTTTTTCTTACGCTTCATTATCATTTTCCTCGTATTTTTCTTACGTTCCCTCATTATTTCTAATTTCCTGACATTTTCTTACCATGTTTCTTCCTTACTACTCAGCTGTCTTTTTTTTACGCTTCATTATAATTTCTCTTATTTTTACCATGTTCCTTCTTTACTCAGCTGACATTTTTTCTTTATGTTTCTTCCTTACTACTCAGCTGTCTTTTTCTTACGCTTCATTATGATTTCCTCTTATTTTCTTACCATGTTCCTTCCTTACTACTCAGCTGACATTTTTCTTTATGTTTTCTTCCTTACTACTTATTTGCTGTCTTTTCTTACGCTTCATTATAATTCCCTCTTATTTTTCTTACCATATTTCCTTCCTTACTACTCAGCTGACATTTTCTTACTATGTTTCTTCCTTTACTACTCAGCTGTCTTTTTCTTTATTATAATTTCCTTCATTATGATTTACTCAGCTATTTTCTTACTATGTTTCTTCCTTACTACTCAGCTGACATTTTTCTCCCTTTATTTTTTTTCCTTCCTCTACTCAGCAGACTTTTATGTCTTTCTTTTACTACTAATGTCTTTTTCTTACGCTTCATTATAATTTCCTCTTATTTTCTTACCATATTTCCTTCCTTACTACTCAGCTGACATTTTCTTACTATGTTTCTTCCTTACTACTCAGCTCTCTTTTTCTTACGCTTCATATTATTTAATTCCCCCTTATTTTCTTACTAATTTTCTTACCCCTTACTACTCTTTTTTTCTTACATTTTTCCTTTACTATTTTTCTTCCTTTCATTTATTCCTCTTATACTCAGCTGTCTTTTTCTTACGCTTCATTATGATTTCCTTTATTTTCTTACCATCTTTTCTTCCCTTACTACTCAACTGACATTTTTTCTTACTATATTTCTTCCTTACTACTCAGCTGTCTTTTCTTACCCTTCATTGCCAATTCCCTCTCGTATTTTCTTACCATTTTCCTTCCTTACTACTCAGCTGACATTTTCTTACTATATGTTTCTTCCTTACTACTCAGCTGTCTTTTTTTTTCTTTCATTACCATTTCCTCATTTCTTACCATAGATTCCCTACTTATTTTCTTACCATGTTTCTTCCTTACTACTCAGCTGTCTTTTCTTGCTTCATTTTTTCCCTCTTATTTTTCTTACCATGTTTCTTCCTTACTACTCAGCTGTATTTTTACTATATTTCTTCCTTACTACTCAGCTGTATCTTTTCTTTTCTTATTTTCCTCTTATTTTTCTTACCATGTTCCTTCTTACTACTCAGCTGACATTTTCTTACTATGTTTCTTCCTTACTACTCAGCTGTCTTTTTCTTACGCTTCATTATAATTTCCTCTTATTTTCTTACCATGTTTTTCCTTCCTTACTACTCAGACATTTTCTTACTATATTTCTTTTACTACTCAGCTGTCTTTTTCTTACGCTTCATTATAATTCCCTCGTATTTTCTTACCATGTTCCTTCCTTACTACTCATTTACATTTTCTTACTATGTTTCTTCCTTTACTCAGCTGTCTTTTTCTTACGCTTCATTATAATTTCCTCTTATTTTCTTACCATGTTCCTTCCTTACTACTCAGCTGACATTTTCTTACTTGTCATTTTCTTCCTTACTACTCAGCTGTCTTTTTCTTACGCTTCATTATAATTCCCTCTTATTTTCTTACCATGTTCCTTCCCTTACTACTCAGCTTACATTTTTCTTACTATGTTTCTTCCTTTTTTACTCAGCTGTCTTTTTTCTTTCATATAATTTCTTATTTATAATTTCCATTTATTTTCATTTTTACCATATTTTTCCTTACTACTCAGCTATTCCTTTTCTTACTATGTCTTTTCTTCCTTACTACTCAGTTTCTTTTTCTTACTGTCTTTTCATTATAATTTCCTCTTATTTTCTTACCATGTTCCTTCCTTACTACCAGGGCTGACATTTTTCTTACTATGTTTCTTCCTTACTACTCAGCTGTCTTTTTCTTTACGCTTCATTATGATTCCCTCTTTTTTTCTTACCATGTTCCTTCCTTACTACTCAGCTGACATTTTCTTACTATGTTTCTTCCTTACTACTCAGCTGTCTTTTTCTTACGCTTCATTATAATTTCCTCGTATTTTCTTACCATGTTCCTTCCTTACTACTCAGCTGACATTTTCTTACTATGTTTCTTCCTTACTACTCAGCTGTCTTTTTCTTACGCTTCATTATGATTCCCTCTTATTTTCTTACCATGTTCCTTCCTTACTACTCAGCTGACATTTTCTTACTATGTTTCTTCCTTACTACTCAGCTGTCTTTTTCTTACGCTTCATTATAATTTCCTCTTATTTTCTTACCATGTTTTCTTCCTTACTACTCAGCTGTCATTTTCTTACATATTGTTCCTTCCTTACTACTCACTTTGTTTTTTTCTTACGCTTCATTATGATTCCTCTTATTTTCTTTTACCATATTCCTTCCTTACTACTCATCCTGACATTTTTTCTTACTTATCTTACTTTTTCTTCCTTACTACTCAGCTGTCATTTTCTTACCCTTCATTATAATTCCCTCTTATTTTCTTACCATGTTCCTTCCTTACTACACAGCTGACATTTTCTTACTATGTTTCTTCCTTACTACTCAGCTGTCTTTTTCTTACGCTTCATTATAATTTCCTCTTATTTTTCTTACCATATTTCCTTCCTTACTACTCAGCTGACATTTTTCTTACTATGTTTCTTTTTACTACTCAGCTGTCTTTTCTTACGCTTCATTATAATTCCTCGTATTTTCTTACCATGTTTCCTTCCTTACTACTAGTTGACATTTTCTTACCATGTTTCTTCCTTACTACATTTCATCTGTGTTTTTTCTTACGCTTCATTAGATTCCTGTATTTTCTTACCATATTTCCTTCCTTACTACTCAGCTGACATTTTCTTACTATGTTTCTTCCTTACTACTTTCTGTCTTTTTTCTTACGTTTCTTCATTATAATTTTTTCGTATTTTCTTACCAGCTGTTCCTTCCTTACTATTATCAGCTGACATTTTCTTACCATGTTTTCTTCTTACTACTACTGCATTTTTGTCTTTTCTTCCTTCTATTTTCATTCATGTTTCTTATTTTCTTATTTTGTTCCTTCCTTACTACTCAGCTGACATTTTCTTACTATATTTCTTCCTTACTACTCAGCTGTCTTTTTTCTTACCTTCATTATGATTTCCTCATATTTTCTTACCATGTTTCCTTCCTTACTACTCACACTGACATTTTCTTACTATGTTTTTCTTCCCTTACTACTCAGCTGTCTTTTTTCTTACGCTTCATTATGATTCCTCTTATTTTCTTACCATGTTCCTTCCTTACTACTCAGTGACATTTTCTTACCATGTTTCTTCCTTCCTTACTACTCAGCTGTCTTTTTTTTCTTACGCTTCATTATAATTTCTTCCTCTACTATTTTCTTACCATATGTTCCTTCCTTACTACTCAGCTGACATTTTTTCTTTATGTTTCTTCCTTACTACTCAGCTGTCTTTTTTCTTTTTTAATTCCCTTTATTTTATAATTTCCATGTATTTTCTTACTATGTTCCTTCCTTTACTCAGCTTATTTTCAGTTTCTTCATTTTCTTACTATTTTTTTCTTCCTTACTACTCAGCTGTCTTTTTCTTTTACGCTTTTCATTATAATTTCCTCTTATTTTCTTACCATGTTCCTTCCTTACTACTCAGCTGACTTTTTTTCTTACTATGTTTTTTTCTTCCTTAATACTCAGCTGTCTTTTTCTTACGCTTGACATTTCCTCTTATTTTTCTTACCATGTTCCTTCCTTACTACTCATGACATTTTTCTTTTACTGTTTCTTTCTTCCTTTACTTAGCTGTCTTTTTCTTACGCTTCATTATGATTTCCTCTTATTTTCTTACCATGTTCCTTCCTTATGACTCAGCTTGATTTTCTTACTATGTTTCTTCCTTACTACTCAGCTGTCTTTTTCTTACGCTTCATTATAATTTCCTCTTATTTTCTTACCATGTTCCTTCCTTACTACTCAGCTGACATTTTCTCTTTATATTTCTTCCTTACTACTCAGCTGTCTTTTTCTTACCCTTCATTATAATTCCCTCTTATTTTCTTACTCTTTCTTTCCTTCCTTACTATTCAGCTGACATTTTTCTTACTATGTTTTCTTCCTTACTACTCAGCTGTTTTTTCTTACCCTTCATTATGATTCCCTCTTATTTTTCTTACTATGTTCCTTCTACTCAGCTGACATTTTCTTACTATGTTTCTTCCTTACTACTCAGCTGTCTTTTTTCTTACCCTTCATTATAATTTCCTCTTATTTTCTTACCATGTTCCTTTCCTTACTACTCAGCTGACTTTTTTTCTTACTATGTTTCTGTCTTTTTCTTTTACCAGCTGTCTTTTTTCTTACCATGTCATTTTCCTTCATTATGATTTTCTTCTTTTTCTTTTACCATGTTCCTTCATTTACTTCCCTCTTATTTTCTGATTTTTTCTTACTATGCTATTTTTTTTTCTTCCTTACTACTCAGCTGTCTTTTTCTTACGCTTCATTATAATTCCCTCGTATTTTCTTACCATGTTCCTTCTTACTACTCAGCTGACATTTTCTTACTTATGTTTCTTCCTAATACTCAGCTGTCTTTTTCTTACTCCTTCATTATTATTCACTTTATTTTCTTCCATATTTCCTTCCTTACTACTCAGCTGACATTTTCTTACTATGTTTCTTCCTTACTACTCAGCTGTCTTTTTTTACGCTTCATTATAATTCCTCTTATTTTCTTACCATTTTCCTTCCTTACTACTCAGCTGACATTTTCTTCTATGTTTCTTCCTTACTACTCAGCTGTCTTTTCTTACGCTTCATTATGATTCCCTCTTATTTTCTTACCATGTTCCTTCTTTACTAGCTGACATTTTCTTACTATATTTTCTTCCTTACTACTCAGCTGTTTTTTTCTTACGCTTCATTATAATTTCCTTTTATTTTCTTACCATGTTCCTTCCTTACTACTCAGCTGACATTTTTCTTACTATATTTCTTCTTACTACTCAGCTGTCTTTTTTCTTCTTCATTATGATTCCTCTTATTTTCTTACCATGTTCCTTCCTTTACTGACATTTCAGCTGTCTTTTTTCTTACTACTCAGCTGTCTTTTTTTCTTCGCTTTATAATTTCCTCGTATTTTCTTACCATGTTCCTTCCTTCTACTCAGCTGACATTTTCTTACCATGTTTCTTCCCTTACTACTCCTGTCTTTTTCTTATATTTTCTTCCCTCTCATCTTATTTTCTTACCATGTTTCTTCCTTACTACTCAGCTGTCATTTTTCTTTTATGTTTCTTCCTTACTACTTATCTGTCTTTTTCTTACCTTCATTATAATTTTTCTTATTTTCTTACCATTTCCTTCCTTACTACTCAGTTGACATTTTTCTTACCATGTTTCCTTCCTTACTACTCAGCTGTCTTTTTCTTACCTTCATTTCTTCCTTACTATTTTCTATGTTTTTCTTACTACTCACTTCATTATGTTTTTCTTCCTCTTAGCTGTCTTTTTTCTTACTTCATATTTTGTATTTTCTTACATGTTCCTTCTTACTACTTGACTGACATTTCTTACTATGTTTCTTCCTTACTACTCAGCTGTCTTTTTCTTACGCTTCATTATGATTCCCTCTTATTTTCTTACCATGTTCCTTCCTTACTACTCAGCTGACATTTTCTTACTATGTTTCTTCCTTACTACTCAGCTCTTTTTTCTTACCTTCATTATAATTTCCCTCTTATTTTCTTACCATGACATTTCCTTCCTTTTACTCAGCTGACATTTTTCTTACTATGTTTTTCTTTACTACTCAGCTTGTCTTTTTCTTACACTTCATTATAATTCCTCTTATTTTTCTTACCATGTTTCCTTCCTTACTACTCAGCTGACATTTTTCTTTTTATGTTTTCTTCCTTTACTACTCAGCTGTCTTTTTCTTGCACTTCATTATAATTTCCTCGTATTTTCTTACCATTTCCTTCCTTACTACTCAGCTGTCATTTTCTTACCATGTTTCTTCCTTTACTACTCAGCTGTCTTTTTCTTACGCTTCATTATGATTTCCTCTTATTTTCTTACCATGTTTCTTCCTTTTTACTACTCATTATAATTCCCTCATTTTTTCTTACTATGTTTCTTCCTTACTACTCAGCTGTCTTTTTTCTTACTCATGTTTCTTCCCTACTATTCAGCTGTCTTTTTTTCCTTCATTTACTACTTGATTTTATTTTCTTACTGACATTTCTTTGTTTTACTTACTCAGCTGTCTTTTTCTTACGCTTCATTATAATTCCCTCTTATTTTTCACCATTCTTCCTTCTTCCATTTTCTTCTATATTTCTTCTTTACTCAGCTGTCATTTTCTTATTCCCTCTTATGTTTCTTCCTTACTAGCTGCATTTTTGTCTTTTTCTTTACAGCTGTCTTCATTATTGATTTCCTCTTATTTTCTTACCATGTTTTTCTTACCTCAGCTACAATTTTTTCTGACTATGTTTCTTCCTTTTACTCAGCTGTCTTTTCTTACCTTCATTATAATTTCCTATTATTTTCTTACCATGTTTCCTTCCTTACTACTCAGCTGACATTTTCTTACATGTTTCTTCCTTACTACTCAGCTGTCTTTTTTACCATGCTTCTTATAATTTCCTTCATTTTCTTACCATGTTCCTTATACTACTTACATTTTTCTTTATTTTTCTTCCTTACTACTCAGCTGTCTTTTTCTTACCTTCACGCTAATTCCCCTTATTTTCTTACTATATTTCCTTCTTACTACTTTCTCTTTTCTTATATTTCCTTCCTTACTACTCAGCTGTCTTTTCTTACGCTTCATTATAATTTCCTGTATTTTCTTACCATGTTCCTTCCTTATTTTCTTACTATGTTTCTTCCTTACTACTCAGCTGTCTTTTTCTTACGCTTCATTATGATTTCCTCGTATTTTCTTATTTTTCCTTACCATGACATTTCCTTATTTCCTTACTACTCAGCTGTCTTTTTTACGCTTCATTTAATTTCCCTCGTATTTTCATTACCATGTTCTTCCTTCTTATTTTCATTTTTACTATGTTTCTTCCTTAATACTCAGCTGTCTTTTTCTTACCCTTCATTATGATTCCCTCTTATTTTCTTACCATATTCCTTCCTTACTACTCAGCTGTCTTTTTCTTACCCTTATTTTCTTCCTTTTTTCTTACTGTCTTTTCTTCCTTTTTAATTTTCAGCTGTATTTTTTTTACCATTTCCTTCATTATGATTCCCTCTTATTTTCTTACCATGTTCCTTCCTTACTACTCAGCTGTCTTTTTCTTACCCTTCATTATGATTCCCTCTTATTTTCTTACTATGTTTCTTCCTTAATACTCAGCTGTCTTTTTCTTACCCTTCATTATGATTCCCTCTTATTTTCTTACCATATTCCTTCCTTACTATTCCTCTTATTTTCATTTTACTTACCCTTTTATTACTACTCAGCTGACATTTTCCCTTACTATGTTTCTTCCTTACTACTCAGCTGTCTTTTTTTCTTATAATTTCATTATGATTCCCATGTTTCCTTTTCTACTACTGACATTTTCCTTCCTTACTACTCAGCTGTCTTTTTTCTTACCCTTCATTATAATTCTATTATTTTCTTCCATGTTCTTTTACTACTAGCTGACATTTTCTTTTTTCTTCCTTACTACTCAGCTGTGTCTTTTTCTTACCCTTCATTATAATTTCCTCTTATTTTTTACCATGTTTCTTCCTACTCCTTCATTTTTTCTTACTATGTTTCTTCCTTACTACTCAGCTGTCTTTTCTTACCTTCATTCATTCCTGATTTTCTTCATATTTTCTTACTATGTTTCTTTTTCTTACTACTCTTTGTTTTTTCTTTTTACCCTTCATTATGATTCCCTCTTATTTTCTTACCATGTTCCTTCCTTACTACTCAGCTGTCTTTTTCTTACCCTTCATTATGATTCCCTCTTATTTTCTTACTATGTTTCTTCCTTAATACTCAGCTGTCTTTTTCTTACCCTTCATTATGATTCCCTCTTATTTTCTTACCATATTCCTTCCTTACTACTCAGCTGTCTTTTTCTTACCCTTCATTATGATTCCCTCTTATTTTCTTACTATGTTTCTTCCTTACTACTCAGCTGTCTTTTTCTTACGCTTCATTATGATTCCTACTTTACTTTCTTACCATGTTTCCTTCATTTATTGCTCAGTTGTCATTTTTCTTACCATGTTTTTTTTCCTTACTACTCAGCTGTCATGTTTTTTCTTACCATATTTCTTCCCTTACTACTCAGCTATTTTTTTCTTACACTTCATTATGATTTCCTCTTATTTTCTTACCATGTTTCCTTCCTTACTACTCAGCTGACATTTTCTTACTATGTTTCTTCCTTACTACTCAGCTATCTTTTTTTTTCTTACCTTTTTCATTATAATTTCCTCTTATTTTCTTACCATTTTCCTTCCTTACTACTCAGCTGACATTTTCTTACCATGTTTTCTTCCTTACTGTCTTTTACTTCAGTTGTCATTTTCTTACTATGTTTCTTTCCTTACTACTCAGCTGTCTTTTTTCTTACACTTCATTATGATTCCCTCTTATTTTTTCTTACCATGACTTTTCTTACCTTCCTTACTACTCAGCTGTCTTTTTTCTTACTATGTTTCTTCCTTACTTACTCAGCATTTTATCTATGTTTTTTTTTACGCTTCATTATAATTTCCTCGTATTTTCTTACCATGTTCCTTCCTTACTACTCAGCTGTCATTTTCTTACCATGTTTCTTCCTTACAACTCAGCTGTCTTTTTCTTACGCTTCATTATGATTCCCTCTTATTTTCTTACCATGTTTCTTCCTTACTACTCAGCTGTCATTTTCTTACCATGTTTCTTCCTTACTACTCAGCTATCTTTTTCTTACACTTCATTATGATTCCCTCTTATTTTCTTACCATGTTTCTTCCTTACTACTCAGCTGACATTTTCTTACTATGTTTCTTCCTTACTACTCAGCTGTCTTTTTCTTACGCTTCATTATGATTTCCTCTTATTTTTCTTACCATGTTTCCTTCGTTACTACTCAGCTTGTCATTTTCTTACTATGTTTCTTCCCTTACTACTCAGCTGTCTTTTTCTTACGCTTCATTATGATTCCTCTTATTTTCTTACCATATTTCCTTCCTTACTACTCAGCTGACTTTTTTCTTACTATGTTTTCTTTATGATTCCTCTGTCTTTTTCTTACCTTCATTTAATTTCCTTACTTACCATGTTCCTTCCTTTTACTCTTACATTTCATTATGTTTTTCACTTTACTCGTATTTTCTTTTCTTTCTTCTTCATTATAATTTTCCTGTTTTTTTCTTACCATGTTTCTTCCTTACTACTCAGTTGTCATTTTCTTACCATGTTTCTTCCTTACTACTCAGCTATCTTTTTCTTACGCTTCATTATAATTTCCTCTTATTTTCTTACCATGTTCCTTCCTTACTACTCACCTGACATTTTCTTACTATTTTTTCCTTACCATCAGCTGTCTTTTCTTACTTCATTCCAATTGTCTTATTTTCTTACCATGTTTCTTCCTGACATTTTACTATGTTTCTTACTTCATCTATCAGCTGTCTTTTTCTTACACTTCATTATAATTTCCCTCTTATTTTCTTACCATGTTTCTTCCTTACTACTCAGCTGACATTTTCTTACTATTTTTTCTTCCTTACTACTCAGCTGTCTTTTTTCTTACGCTTCATTATAATTTCCTCTTATTTTCTTACCATGTTTCTTCCTTACTACTCAGCTGACATTTTCTTACCATGTTTCTTCCTTACTACTCAGCTGTCTTTTTCTTACGCTTCATTATGATTCCCTCTTATTTTCTTACCATGTTTCTTCCTTACTACTCAGCTGTCATTTTCTTACCATGTTTCTTCCTTACTACTCAGCTGTCTTTTTCTTACGCTTCATTATAATTTCCTCTTATTTTCTTACCATGTTCCTTCCTTACTACTCAGCTGACATTTTCTTACTATGTTTCTTCCTTACTACTCAGCTGTCTTTTTCTTACGCTTCATTATGATTCCCTCTTATTTTCTTACCATGTTCCTTCCTTACTACTCAGCTGACATTTTCTTACTATGTTTCTTCCTTACTACTCAGCTACCATTATATAATTTCCTCGTCTTTTTTCTTACGTATTCTTCATTATGATTCCCTCTTATTTTTCTTACTATGTTCCTTCCTTACTACTCAGCTGTCTTTTTCTTACCCTTCATTATGTTTTCTTATTTTTCTTACCATGTTTTTCCCTAATTTACTCAGCTGTCATTTTCTTACCATTTTTCTTCCTTTACTACTCAGTTGTCATTTTCTTACCATGTTTTTTTACTACTCATCTATCTTTTTCTTACGCTTCATTATAATTTCCTTATTTTCTTACCATATTTCCTTCCTTACTACTCAGCTGACATTTTCTTACTATGTTTCTTCCTTACTACTCAATTTGTCTTTTCATTTTCATTTAACTCGTATGTTTTCCTTCCTTACTCAGCTGACATTTCTTCTTATGTTTCTTCTATCTCAGCTGTTTTTTCTTACACTTCATTATGATTCCCTCTTATTTTCTTACCATGTTTCTTCCTTACTACTCAGCTGACATTTTCTTACTATGTTTCTTCCTTACTACTCAGCTATCTTTTTCTTACGCTTCATTATAATTTCCTCTTATTTTCTTACCATGTTCCTTCCTTACTACTCAGCTGTCATTTTCTTACCATGTTCCTTCCTTACAACTAAGCTGTCTTTTTCTTACGCTTCATTATGATTCCCTCTTATTTTCTTACCATATTCCTTCCTTACTACTCAGCTGTCTTTTTCTTACGCTTCATTATGATTCCTCATTTTTATTTTCTTACCAGTTTTTCCATGTTTTTCTTCCAGCTTCATCTGTCTTTTCTTACGCTTCATTATGATTCCCTCTTATTTTCTTACCATGTTTCTTCCTTACTACTCAGTTGTCATTTTCTTACTATGTTTCTTTATGATTCCTTCATGATATTTTCTTACTATGTTTCTTCCTTACTACTCAGCTGTCTTTTCTTACCATGTTTCTTCCTTACCTTCATTATGATTCCCTCTTATTTTCTTACCATGTTTCTTCCTTACTGCTCATTTCTTCATTTTCTTGACTATCCACCATATTTTCTTCCTTACTACTCAGCTGTCTTTTTCTTACCTTTTCTTTCATTATGATTTCCCTCTTATTTTCTTACCATATTTCTTCCTTACTCCTCAGCTGTCATTTTTTTTTTTCTTGCCCTTTCATTCTTATTTTCTTACTATATTTTTCCCTTACTTACTCAGCTGTCTTTTCTCATCCTTCATTTTTTTTCTTATTTTTTTCTTACCATGTTTCTTCCTTACTACTCAGCTGTCTTTTTCTTACCCTTCATTATGATTCCCTCTTATTTCCTTACTACTCAGCTGTCTTTTTCTCATCCTTCATTTTGTTTCCCTCTTATTTTCTTACCATGTTTCTTCCTTACTACTCAGCTGTTATTTTTTCTTACCTTTGTCTTTTTTATGATTCCTCTTATTTCCTTACTACTCAGCTGTCTTTTTTCTCATCCTTCATTTTGATTCCTCTTTTTTTCTTTTATGTTTTCTTCCTTACTACTCAGCTGTCTTTTTCTTACCCTTCATTATGATTCCTACTCAGCTTATTTTCTTACCTTTATTCTTCCTTACTACTCAGCTGTTTTTTTTTCTTCACCCTTCATTATTTTCTTCCTTACTACTCATTTTCTTTTTCTTATTTTCTTCCTTACTACTAGCTGTCTTTTTCTTTCTTACTTTATTTCCTCTTATTTTTCTTACTATGTTTTTCTTCCTTCATTATGATTCCCTCTTATTTTCTTACTATGTTTCTTCCTTACTACTCAGCTGTCTTTTTCTTACCCTTCATTATGATTCCCTCTTACTTTCTTACCATGTTTCTTCCTTACTGCTCAGTTGTCATTTTCTTACTATGTTTCTTCCTTACTACTCAGCTGTCTTTTTCTTACCCTTCATTATGATTCCCTCTTATTTTCTTACCATGTTTCTTCCTTACAACTCAGCTCTCATTTCCTCCTTCACCATGATTCTATATTTTATTTTATCGTTTTTCTTCCATCTTACTCAGTTTTCTTTTACTTCTTCTTCCCCAAGTGTCTATCTTATTGTTTATTCTCTTGATTCCCTCCTCTTCAGGTGACATTTCCTTTATCACTCACTGTCTTCATTCCTTCCCAATAATCTTTCTTCTTCTTCTTCTTCTTTGCTCGACGACTCTTATTTGATTGTCAGTAAAACGTCTTTGCTATAAGATATTTTCTTCTATATGCTCTCTGTATTATATACACTGCCTTGGGTAGATTTCCTGTCACGAATCTGATTTCTTAAATTTGGTTAACAAGACGCCGATAACGACTGATTGTCTGCGAGGCGACACATAATGTTTGATTTTTCTTCATCCCTTATTACATACTACGTTATCTCGCTTCAATAAGAAAATGTTAAATATTGCTTTGAGAAAGAAATATCAGAATGGAGATGATTTAAGGTCGTTTAGTGGACAAATAGTGGCTTCCACACTAGTTTGATTAAAACGAAACAAGGTCTGTCTATTTAATTTGTTATTGCATTATTCTAATTGTCGAATAAGGTTATGTAAATTAAAGAAAAAATTGTGAGAAGCTATTGAAACTTTTGTCAAAGTATTTTCGACTCTCTCAATTATTTTTACAAACCAATCTGGTTCCTTGCGGTAGGCAGATCTCCTTTGTCTAATACCTGGTAATCTTTGGAAAGTTCAAATTTTGAAATTGTCTACGTTGACATAATGTGTAAGTGTTATTAGGAGCGGGAAAAATGTCTACAAGAAAGGCATTGATTCCCGTTTGTTAAAAATTTAGTAGAAAATGCATAGATTTTCAAAATATCTTCCATTTAAAAGTAATAGACGGGCATTATTTATTATTTGTGTTTCTGATTGGATGACTGCCTTAATTTTCTGTTTGTTTTTATTTACAAACTTCGTATTTATTATTAAATTTGTTAATAGCATTTCTTTCTTCTTAATTTCTGTTGCATTTCGTGTCGTCGTAATTAGTAATTTTATCCTGCATGTATATTATCTGAATCATTGTCAACAATTACGTTTGGCGATATATAAATTCAATTTAATTTTACTTGTAATCTTAAACCACTGTTCTAATTGCATTAGTCGTAGTTGTATCTTAAATATTTATATGAAACATTGTCATTTATTTTCAACTTTCGACTAGTATTTCTTTTATCTTAATTTTATTTGCTTTTCATCGGAGCTATCTTGTATAATATATAAGTAGAATTATTGTCTATTATTTACTTTTACGAGATGAAATACTATTAATTAGGTTAACTGCACGATTTCGTTACATTAACTTACGTGCAAATACCTTTGGAAGAGATATAAATTCATCTTAGCTACAGCCAAATAACAGGACCGACAGTGCTCTGTAGCCTTGGTTGACTAACAGTCTACGCGTTTCTTCTTTTAAAATCAAAGCAGTCTGTTAGAAGTTGGGCTCAATCAGAATATCTTGCTCAAGACACACACCTACTGTTATAGATACAGTAAATGTGGTACTCCTATGACTCTAATGGGTTACGGGAGTCGTGATCGTGATTATTAAATATTATTCTCTTTTTATTAGGAAGCTTATTTTAATGCAACGACTCAGATCGTCATTAATTTTAATTATTATTTCTTTCATCTTAATTACACTAGTTTCCTTGATACTTTTTTCTCATATTGTTTATAACTAATATGAGTTAAAGGGCTACTGAATAAGATTGTTACAATGGCGTGTAAGGAGAGAGTATGCAATTCATATTATGATGATATGAAGCATAGATAACGGTTAACCTAGATTTGAAGAGGTTAAGCTTATAATGATAGGGGAAGCATCATCTCGGGAGTTTATCTCACAAAGTGGGGTTGAAACTCTGTAAGACGAATTTTCTCTTAACCAATGCAATACGAAGGGAATGACGATAAATTGACATTGAATCTGTTGTACTATCTGGAAATGGTATGGACTGGGGTAATTAAGGAATTTTTATGGGTATAAACGTCTTTTTGGCAAATAATAAATTTGGTTTTGAATTAAATTATATAAATATATAACCGGATGTCAAAATATAGATAGGTATAAGAACAAGCGACCTGATACAAATACATGTAAAAATTCTATAGAGGTAATAAAAAACACTACTCAATATTAAGTAACGATCGCTCGTATATTTGAAAATTACATCGGCATGAAACAAAGAGTTGCGCAATTAATATTAGATATTATGTATATTTTTTCAATATATATATATATATATATATATATATATATATATAATTCAAAGTTTTTCGTTTAGCTGATGGATGTCACATTGAGCATCCCGACTGTAGAGTTTCTTTGACGGACGCTCCAGGAATCACTCCGTCCAGGCGTCAGTGAGTATCACCAATATATCTATCTATCTATCTATTTATCTATCTATCTATCTATCTATCTATCTATCTATATATATATATATATATATATATATATATTAGTGATATATATATATATATATATATATATATATATATATATATATATATATATATTACGATAAACGTGCAATAAATTTACAAATTCATGATAATTCACACAAAAACAAATGCAAATTTTTGTATATTATGTGAATTGTTTGCGACGATGGATTTCTCTGCCAATTAAATCATTAACCTTTGCATCTGTTTTGTGTGAATAATTCATAGAATATATATATATATATATATATATAAAATATATATATATATATATATATATATATATATATATATATATATATATATATATATATATATTGATGATACTCACTGATATATATATATATATGTATATATATAAAATATATATATATATATGAATGAAGAAATATAGTCTTAAGGTGTGGTATATTTATGGGATAAAGTGCTCAGTATCGGAGATAGAGCGTGTGTAAATATAAATAATTAAATATAAAATAGATATAAATATAATTAAATATAAATAATTAAATAAGTGATATAAACAAATTTTTACTACGTTAGTAAAAACACCGATTAAAAAAATAAGATAAAATAAGAAACAAAAAATAAATAAAAACAAGCAAAATAATTTAACCCAAATAAATAAATAAACGACTTCCGGTAAAATAACCGCCCTAATAGACTACCCACAATGCACCACTTACCCATATATGTATAAATAGCCGAGAAAAATAACAGCACAATTGGCCTGACGATTGCATGTAGCATGAAACAGACTGTCGCCTCTAAGTGTTAACTTCTATGTTCACTTTTATATATATATATATATATATATATATATATATATAAATTATATATATGTAATTTAATTTATATATATATATAATTTCTATGTATGTGTGTATGAATATATATATGTATATATATATATATATATATATATATATATATATATATATATATATATATATATATATTTGTAGAGAGAGAGTTTGTCTGATGATCGCAGTAGCGTGAAACTCAGGGTTACAAAGTCATATCCATATAACTAAAGGTATATATATATATATATATATATATATATATATATATATATATATAAACTGTCGTACAGTGAGTGTTAGTGGTGATAAAACAGTGCTCGGCATATAATAATAGAGCAAAAATTTATAGTAATAATAAGTACATATTTTCTTCCTAACCGATTGGACACCTCTGATATTCATGCAAATAATTTGCACGCATGAAGTTGTGTTACCGGTGAGGAACAAAATTCATTTATTTTAGTACACACACACACACGCACACACACACACACATACGCACACACACATACACACACACACACACACACACACACACACATATATATATATATATATATATATTCCTGTCGGTGGACCCATATTTTCTATAAACAATTTTTCGGATATTCAGGCCGGTAAATATTGTCTAATACTGTTTATTATAAACAGAGCATTTACTTAAATATTTGTATCTATAAAAAGAATGTATAAACATAAAAATGTCTTAAAATAATTATCAGGCTTTGTCCATTTCATAATGTGTGACGTCATTTGATTACATTTGGATACACATCGAGCAGAATGTACGTGAGAAAATCATGGGAAATTGTAGTTTAAAAACAGTAAAATTGACATTGCTAACCGAAACGCTCCTCTGTGGCTCAATTGGTAAAAGCACGTCAGGCTATGTGACGGTTCCGTATAGGATATAAGATCGATTACTGTTGGAGGGCGCATATTTTATTTGACAGTTTCTCGGACATTCAGGCCGGTAAATGTTGTTAATACTGTTTATTATAAACAGAGTACTTATTTAAATATTTGTATCTATAAAAAAGGATGTATAAACATAAAAATGTCTTAATATATATATACATACATACACACACACACGCGCACGCGCGCACACACACACACATATATATATATGTGTGTGTGTGTGTTTGTGGGCGTTTTTCTTCTATGTTTGCTTCATCTTTCGCTTCTCTTTACTATGTTAGCTTTGATTCAGCAACTATTGCCTCGTCTGCATTAAGTTTAGAATCAGTGTTCAGACGTTTTATTACCTAATTATAGTGGGAAAATCAACAAAGTGCTTCTTAAACAAAAATTTAGAGAAAACAGAAAATTCTGTCTGGCGAATTTTGTGAGAACCGGATATGGTTCCGATGTGTTTACAACGAAACCCACACATCCTATGTAAAAGGAAGAATAATTGCCCACTTCACTTCCGGTCATGAATAAGTGACTGTTGGCATGGCCTAGCCTCATCCGACTTGAGTATTCAGGTAACCAATGTCTACTAGTGATTTGGTTTTAGTCAGTTTTATTCATCAAGTGAGAATTTTGTATATATACCTTGTTTTCAAGAAAGGTTTCTCCCGCAGATTGTTTTACATTTTTACCTGTTAGAGTTTAAAGTCCTTCTTATATGTGTATACAATTTTATTGTTCTTTAGCTATAGCTTATGATTCGTTACTAAATCCTAATTTTTCTGTCTTTTCTTGGCTTTTATGAGATTATTTACAGCTAGCCGCACCTTATCATTTCCACAGTTATCTATCTATCTATCTATCTATCTATCTATCTATCTATCTATCTATATGAAGAAAAATATACGGAAAAAACAAACAAAAATCCTAATATGCAATTATGCTGTTTTAATGTTAATATAATGTCAACGTCGGACGTTTCGGTCTAATAGACCATCTTCAGGACATATTCATAAAACATAATTAACATTAGACCATATTCAATTAAACATGAAAAAGACAATGGGCATAAGAGCAATCCAAACAGATAACTGAAAATGAATTTGAATTAGACCAAAATGTCCATCGTCGTTTTCATGAATTGTATATGGTCTAATAAAATGGTATAATAGGGACCAAAATATTAATAAAACAGCATTTTTGCATTGTTTTTTTCCGTATATTTATCTTTACATGTCGGATCTATATCCATATATTTGCTTACACACACACACACACACACACACACACACACACACACACACACACACACATATATATATATATATATATATATATATATATATATATATATATATATATATATATATATACCTCGTATACCTTCCACTTACAAAAGATATCCTGGTGTAATTGTGGACATATATTTCTACAATATGCAATTTATCATCCCTAAAAACGCCTTCAATATTTTTTTCAACCAATGACATATAAGGTCAGTTGTCATGTAAATTGCAACTGTTTTAGAAACATAAACATGTCATTTGTAATTTTAAATATATTTTAACATGACGCTACTGAGCGGAGTCCAGGATAGGGGGGGTGTTATTCGATCTTACAGCACCTCTGCAATTTACTGTTCACATCCTTCAGACAGGTGAACGCACTGACATTGTATCGTGATCTGATTCAAAGAATTGTTTCCTTCTAGTAGAATTAACGGTTCCTTGGGAAGGGAACATGGATGAGGCGCACGAGCGAAAGAAAAACCGTAACGAATCGTTGAAATCCGACTGCATGGAAAACGGGTCGATATGTCATATGCTACGTACTGAGGTCGGGTGTCGTGGATTCCTTTGGGCGGTCAATCGTTCCATTCCTCTTGAAGGTGGGAATCTCTGGCGGGTGCCTAAAGAGGGATTCACATCGTATCCAGACCACAGCTCAATAGGCATGAAGTTGGATCTGGTCAAGATCCCAAAATAAACAAATTTAATCAAAACCATGTTCACAGCACAATGCTACTTCCAACCTGAAACACATCTGTTTGCCTTCTATTCTACGTCATTGATAACGGTCACTTTTATTGAACACAAGGTTGGAAAATCTGACTTGCAGTTGAATTAAAACCGCAGAGTCTGTTTTCTCTGAATTTTTGTTTAAGAAGTAATTTGTTGATTTTCCCGCTATAATTAGGTGATAAAACATCTGACCACTGATTCTAATCCCGATTTCATCTTACACCGAAAATACAATAGTGTGTCCAGTGGCAAAATCTGATGGTGGCGCCAGGGGTGGCAGTAGCCCCTTAGCAACCGGGTTGGCGGGTGATGAGAGTATGGTATCGCACGTGTTTTCACACGTTGTATGTAGAAAATCTGTAAATTGAAATTGTTTGACACATTAATGTCAATTGTGATTTTAGACACACAATGCAAATTGTAACTGTTTTAGGCACATTAATGTCATGTGTGATTTTAGACAGGTAATCTTTATTGCAACGTTTTAGATATATGTCATTTATGATTTTGACGCGTAGTGTCGATAGAAATGTTTTAGACATGTAATGTCATTTGTGGTTCTATACAATGTCATTTGTGATTTTACATATATAATATCAATTAAAAATGTTTTAGGCACATAATATCAATTGTGATTATAGATTTTAAAACAGAAGTTAATTAGCGATAAGTTACATATCAAAAAAATATTAATCTAAACTATTTCCATATAATTTGAGATATAATATATCATAGTGATTTTAAGATTTATATGAAAATGATAGCGAGCGAATGTTTTAGGCACTTAAATATGACTTAGCAAAATGGAAATATAAATTAGTTTAGTATTAAAGGAAACTAACACTTCATTCAATTTACATATTTTATTTGATTACCGAATCCCATGTTTCACTTAAAGACCCCCCCCCACCGCTGAAATGTTGGAACATTTTTCAAGCGGTTCAATCCCAATTAGAATTTGCCTCTACCCTTGGAATATCTCGCTGTATTGTTCAGTCAACTTGTAGACAGTATTCCAAAGTGCGTAATTGCAATTTATACCGAACCCTTAAGTGAAATAATTTCTGAATCGAAGAAACACACAAGTTAAACAGTCAATGAAATGACTTGAATGTAACAACGTGAGTGGAGATACTATGAAATGTTGACTGCGACAAAATAATTTATTTTATCGATTTTCAGCGAGAAAGCCAATCTTGTTAACCCCACTAATAAAAAAATAATAATGAAATGGAGATACATCTAGTGTGCTACTAAAAGTGAACGTATAGAATTAGAAAAATGATTACATTCTCAGGTGAATGAGGAATTTAGCTTTCCCAAACTTCTTTATTTTTAATCCAAAGACACAAGAGTCATTGAGGTTTTCTGAATGTTTTTTATGGACTTGGATTACGAAATAACAGTTGATCCTGGACCTGGTAATATTAAGATTGTAGTCGTCAAAGATATATTCTCTCAGGGATCTGTTACAGGAAGCAGCAATCTTGGGAAGAAGCTGCTCGAATAGAACTTCCATTCATTTTGTCAATAGGAAGTGGTTGGTTCGCATCTGTGAATGTCGGATCATAGCTCTAAAGGTATGAACTGCTGGTAGTAGGGAATGCAGGGAATTTTCTATCGAAATAGCAATAAACTTGTGAAGTTCTGTCGGTGGGAAAGCTTGTGGTCCTGTTGCTGCATAGTTTGTGGAGTGCCACGCTTATGCTGTTACCTCTCCGTTGGTCTGCACCTATTCTGCGTCCCTACGTTGTGTTTTAGTATGCATAGAATTATCAGTGAAAAAACTGTCGAAGATCATTCTTGGCTCCTTTCTGTCCTGGTTATGCTTGTGAAAGTCTAAAGCCACTGGTCTCGTTAATAACTTTAATTACCTTTAACAACAGTCATTAGCAAGTGTAAAAATAACAACTTTTATTCATTGTACTCTGACTAATTAAGATCATGCGTATATAAACAAAAGTGATTTGAAAACGGTTCTTGTATAAGGAATACTTGAGATGGGACAAAGAAATTGGCCGGCGGTTGCAGTTATGACTAAACAGCCCAGAGTCGTTCAACTATTTAAACAAAGGCAGCTGCTCTATGGAGGTAAAAAAGAGGCGTTTAGAACAAGATTTTAGCTGCTTAAGGCACTACGGTTTACTAGCAGTGAAAGCAATTCGATACTACTTCTGCTCTTTAGCTGCCGACATTTATGGCGGAATGCAAACCCCGATTGCACTCTTCTGGTTCGGTAGCCGATAATAACGCTTGAGCAATGGTCTTGTGTCATACGCATCGAAGGAGAGGAAGGGAAGCCCCCCAAGAGTCCAATATGATAAAGCAATCAAAATATTGACCTTGTGTCGTACGTAATGGAGGAAGAGAGGAGAAGCTCCATCCCAGCCTTTCTGTGTTTAGCGGAACAATCAAAATGGTGGCCTTGTATTGCACCTACCCACCTTGTGGAAAATGTTCCATGTTCCGGTATTTTAAACTCATTTGACCTGTTCATCACAGGCGTCATCATCATCCCCATCTGACATTATGTCATGTCCGTGATCAAAACAAACCTGACCTTTAAAAGTTTACTTTGTGTCACTCATTTCAAGTAACCTTTATCAAATGAAAACAATATTCTAGTACAATTTCAACAGATCTAAGATGTACCTAATGACCAATGTTAGCTAAGTTCACAATTTCACTTCTTACACAATACTCCAAAAGTGATATAAACCTGAAAATTCATTAGAATCGTTTTTTTTTAACATGAAAAATATTTTCCTTCCTTAGAAGTAAAAATTCGATCGCCTGTCAAACTTTGACACTACTCATGGTGATATAACCCACAAGGAAGCGTAACCCATTGGAATTCTGTTGAGGCTGCGGGGAGAGGATTAGCTCATCTCAGACAGATTAGGAATACTTCATTTTAGCTTTGATCGGAATCTTTACAAGATAGATCATGGTGAGAGGAGGCAGGTAATTTCTGGAGTGTTTTAAGGAGCCGATCTTTTTTTCCAACGTCTTTTGTGTGTATGTGTGTGTGTGTGTTTATGGGGATGGTTGATTACGGTCCATGTGTGTCGGACATGTTTTTTTTTTTATAACTGAATCGCTACATTACTCACATATATGATTTGATTATATCGATAGACACCATTTTGGAAGAAATATCAAATCCCTCCTCGAAATTGAATGAATGTTTCACTCCCCTTGACCGGTTGCCAATCAAGGCTAGAGAGATGAGTGGTGATAAGAAATGGGTGCATGCCTTTTTTAACGGAATTTGTACAAATGTGAACGCAATGACATCAAACCAGAATTCGAACCCCGCATGATAATCTCTGCGCTAGGTGCGTGCCCACCAGGGTAGGTCGATTTTGAAACCACAACTAACGCTACCCAGAGAAAGTTGCTAATTAACAGAAATAATAACTGCAGAAAATATTTGTTTCTAATAGTTTACCATTTTTTGCGCAAATGCATTTAAATAGTAACATAATCGAATATTCTGAATTTCGCCCGGTGTTAACCGAAAAAATAAGTAGGTCAAATTAACACCGCGTTTTAAAGAAAAAAAGTTTAGAAAATAGGCTTAAAAATGTTTTATTTTATTCAAAATCGTGCAGTTCGTGGTAAATTAAAGAAAAGTAAATTAAAAAGCAAACACTACAAAAGTATTTCATTTAAGATTCTATAAACTATAAACAAATTCGAGCTTGTTTTAGGCGGTTATTTTTTCAGTCTGCACCGGAAATATCTTTAGCATTCCATGTGTTTTTGCTTATATTTGTTTCAAGTTTACTGAGCTGATTTAAAACACAAAAAATAATTAAGTTTGTTCCTTTTTTATTTTAATAAACGTAATTATTAAAAGAAAGAAAGAAAT